CTGAAGCTGAAGGTTAAAGGGGGGCTATCAGCATAATTCCAGGAGAGGATGAATTGTAACTTGGGAATAGGATGATATATGGGGAGGGTTCAATGGAGGGGGCTATCAGCATAATTCCAGGAAAGGATGGGTTGTAACTTGGGAATAGGATGATATATTTTAACTTGCTCTTTCAAGATAACATAAGGTCATGAATAATCTAATTGCAGTATTGATAATTATTGAAGAAATTGATAAGATTGGTAAATCAGATTTTATTGTGTCGACTTCTGAGGTAAGTAAGACGAATATCAGTTACATTGATTAGTGTCGTGTAAAATAATGGGTTAATCAAGATTAAATAACATCAGTTAATGTCAAGAAAATAGTTGATTATTTCAGTTATTCATGTAATCAAAATATTGCCATTATGATCTCTATTATTTTTGGTTAATTCAAGTTTGTTTAGAATGATCAATTTGTGTTTCTCTGATATAATTACTATTTTCAGTTATTCCAACTATACATTGTGCCATTACATTATTATGTTTTCGATTAATTAAAGTTTATCTTCAGACCAGTACAACCCAGCGATTAGGGAGGGTTGCCCCAGATTTGAGTCTGAGGTTTGACTCCTGATGCCACCAGACACCCTCACCCTTTCAGCCGTGGGGGTGTTGTATTTCTTTTTTGAGTTATAGCAAAACTGTGACCAGTGATGGTTGAAGAATACTGAACAGGGTACACAGTTCTCCTAATATTTGTATTATATCTTTTTAATTTGTTGATGAAACAAACTGCAAATTGAACCTTGAAGGACTAGCTTTTATAAAAATATTACACACTTTCTTTAACAAATAAAAATACATTACATCCAAACAATTACAGTAACCTCTTGAAACTCAGCATTCACAAAGATTACAATTAGATTTTCAATAAAATTATATTGTATAACTTTGTACATTAATGTAAAATTATTTTATTACTGTTCAAAAACAAATAAAAATATATTTTGGTGAGAAAAATGCCAGATTTTGTGTACCAGTGGGTTCACCATGTTCTCCATATTAACATTGACAAGTAAATATAGAAATGGAAGTGAACGTGATTAATACACACAGCTAGATTTAAGGACTGTTTATATGAATGGTTACAACATAGTGGACAGAAAATGTGATGATACATTTCTTCTAGCAAGTTGTTGACCCTATAACTGATTAGTTTAATAAATGAGACCGAAAATTAATCAATTAGCAAATTCTACTAATTGCCAACATCTAGATATATTGAGGGATCAGGGCTATATATAATTATTAGTTTTCTATTTGTTAAGGAAAATTGAGGACATCGTGGTACGGACAGAAAATCCTGATGTTCCCCACTGTATTTGTAGCAAAATGGAATCAAAGATTAAATAAGTCCTCTTCAATGTCACATTGCTTTAATTAATAACATAAAATCAAGATTCTAGTTCCTTTGATAGATTGTTTAGGCAGAGTATTCATGATGAAACTTTGTAGAATGGACGACAACTGCCTGTTGAAGAGACACACGTGTAGAGGACAACGTTTCGAAAGTCTTCCGACTTTTTGTCTTCAGGTTAGTGTGTGTAAGGTGTTGTCGGTCTTTATAGTGTACTGGTGGATGTGGAGAGCGTGTTATGATTGGTTGTTTTATCTATGTTTGTGATTGGAGGAGAGATTTCCTGTAGATTCAACCAATGGTAGTCACAGGTTACTCACCTCTAATCCGGGATCTCTGTTTAATGAAGGTTTAATTGTGTTAATATAAAATTATTCTTTAATTTTTTTTGTCTTCCAAAATTTGTCTCTGTCGATGATTCTAGTTTTTTCCCAGTTTATTTTGTGTCCAGTTAACATGGCGTGTTCTGCAATAGCTGAATTTTGTGTTTTCATGAGTCTTGTTCTGTCCTTATGTTCTTTTATTCTTGTCGCGAGTCTTCTTCCCATTTCTCCAATGTATGTTTCATTGTAGGAACATAGAATTTCATTAATGACATTTTTGTGTTTCTCATTGGTAGGTTTCTGTTTCTTTTTTACCAGAATGGACCTTAATATATTGTAGGATTTCCACCAGACTTCTATGTTGAATTTCTTGGCTATGTATTTGAGTTTTTCACTGACATTTTGCAGGTAGGGGAGGTAAATGGTAGTTGTGGTAGTGTTTTTCTGATCTTTTCTTTCTGTTGTGGTCTTCTTCAGGGAATTTTTGGATGAAGGAGGAGGTATAAACATTCTGTTTTGATGGATGTTTTATCACAAATGTTTTCTGTTCTCTTGTTTAGGTATTGGATTATACCACATTTTATCAAGGTTGGATGATAGGACCTGAAGTGTAGGTATCTGTTCGTGTGGATGGGTTTTCTGTATACAATTTTGGTGATTGTTCTCTCTTGTTTGCTGATGAGTGTGTCGAGAAACGGTAGGCTGTTTTGTTCCATGGTGAAGTGCTACTTCCTGCTTCTCTTACTTTAATCAAGCTGCTAATTCCTGTTTTTCTTACTAAATAACACAAAACCAAGCTGATAATTCCTGTTTTTTCTTACTAAATAACACAAAATCAAGTTGCTAATTTCTGTTTTTTGTTACTAAATAACACAAAACCAAGCTGATAATTCCTGTTTTTCTTACTAAATAACACAAAACCAAGCTGATAATTCCTGTTTTTTCTTACTAAATAACACAAAAATCAAGCTGCTAATTCCTGTTTTTCTTACTAAATAACACAAAAATCAAGCTGCTAATTCCTGTTTTTCTTACTAAAGACAATATCAACCTGCTAATACCTGTTATTCTTACTAAATAATACAAAACCAAGCTGCTAATTTCTGTTTTTCTTACTTAATACATAAAAATCAAGCTGCTATTTCCTGCTTCTCTTACTTAATAACACAAAATTAAAGGAATAGCTGCTTTCTCAGTTCAAGACTTTGGATTACGTAGTAATTCAACCTTTTATATAAATAGCTATAATCCTAGGCATATTCAGCAGATTATCAGTTTGTTCTGCGAATATAACCTAAATCCATTGAACCCTCCTCATATATCATCCTATTCCCAAGTTACAACTCATCCTTTCCTGGAATTATGCTGATAGCCCCCCTCCATTGAACCCTCCCCATATATCATCCTATTCCCAAGTTACAACCCATCCTTTCCTGGAATTATGCTGATAGCCCCCCTCCATTGAACCCTCCCCATATATCATCCTATTCCCAAGTTACAACCCATACTTTTTTGGAATTATGCTGATAGCCCCCTCCTTTGAACCCTCCCCCATATACCATCCTATTCCCAAGTTACAACCCATCCTTTCCTGGAATTATGCTGATAGCCCCCCCTCCATTGAACCCTCCTAATATATCATCCTATTCCCAAGTTACAAATCATCCTTTCCTGGAATTATGCTGATAGCCCC